TCAATGCGGCTGCAGTGCAGTCACAAACCAAATGCTTAACTAGTAGTTGTAGTGCTGTCCCATTTGTTATTGTAAGGCAGTACAAGTTTATTTTAATTGCTTTCCTACATAATTTCCACTAAGGTAATCATAATTCGATGTTCGAAATTTTATTGATCAGTTACCATGGACAACACCTCTATATTTATTTTGCCTTAATTTTATAAATCAGACCTTTTTTTGAGAAAACTAAGGTCCTTTTTAAAATGAAAGGATTTCTAATCTCTGACAAGTGGGGAGCTATCCTCACCAGAATTCCCAGTTTTACCGTATTTGATGTGGCCTTCACAAAGCCAAGTTGATACACTTCTCTAATGGATTTTTTCATTTTCTAGAATAGAAAACACAGTTGGAGATTTGACAGTGAAAGAGAGACACTATTTTTATGGTCATGTAGGAGAGCCAAGGCCACAAATTACCGCATGAAATCTCACCAATGGATCTCTAAAGTTCATCATACATATGTATTTTTGATACAATCCAAACTTCTGCAGGCAGGTCTGTTGGCCAGTGGTCTGTTAAGCAATTATACATGAATAGGGGTGAGGAGCACACAGATAACTTCATGAGATGCTTATCTTTGCAAGAAATGTATAAGCAGGCAAGGTTTTCAAACCAGATTAGGTTCCTTGCTCCCTGTATTGGATAGGCAGGGTGGTGTGAGCTGTTCCTAAAGACAAAAAAATTATCAATGAATCCTTTCAGAAATAACCAGACTGAATGATTATCACTGCATGTCTATGACTCGTTAGTACCTGTCCAAGTTGAAATTTTTACATTTGGATAAAGACATTCTTTAACGTTCGTAAAAAAATGACCATGATGTTCCCATAATAGCCATTCAAGAGGCATTTCTCAAAAAATGATTTTAAAATTGATTTAGTATGTTTATTTTATATTGTCACATATAATTATTTTAAACATGTGATGACGTCTGTCTCTTACTGATTTTTACTTTATTGTACATCATTAAATTGTGTTTTTTTAAAGTGAACCTTGCATTAAAATAGCAAGGGATGCTTATTATGTGAGGCTCCGTCCCCCAAACTAAAATTATGTACTAAACATACCTGTGGGGGAAAAATTTGATCAATATACTTATTTTTTCCCTAATTCTGCCCAAAGCATCTAGACAAACGTCATGTCATGATCCTTCCAGTAAGATACCAGGGAAAGCTGAGTAGAGAAGATGATCCTGTGCTGCTTCATTCTCCTGAAGCATCATCTAATGAAATTTGGGCTACACGGCATTTCTTCAAATCTGGCTGGAAGGATGATGATGATGTCACTCCCTACAGTACGGAAGTCATGGAAAGGTAAGTTTAACTTATTCTTCCTCTATATTACTTTCAGCATGGTGAAGCATTTTAGCAAGGAAGGGGGTGGACCCTCAGTAGAAAGGAGCGTATCTTGCTGTGAGTGCAAAGTTTGTTTTTAATGAACTATTTAGATTGTGAGCCTCTAACATCTTGTAATATAATAAACATTTCATTTGATGATGTTAGTTACCCTGTGTTCATGTGGGCTCCATGCCTGCTTTTCTGCAGTACTCTTACTTTGCTCAGAAGTGGGGCAAATATGTGTTTTATAAATGTTGGTGAATATGCATCCATTAAATATTGTGATCGGGCCCTGGATGAGTTGAAATCCATTACAGTGATACTGCATTTAAAAATTGTAGTTTTTTTGAAGGTTTAAAGCCAACAAAAAACTGTCATTTTTTCATTGTTGTCTGTGTCCTCATTATGGAAATTAACAGTTTTTTCTTTGAGATGATTACCGCTCTAACTGGAACTAAGGTCTCATTCACACTGGCAATATCAAACTTGCATTTATTTGCTTTTATAGGACATTTCTAAAAATATATAATTGTATACAATGATTATTTGTATCATTCACAATGAGCATTTACCTGCATTTAGGTGCAGTAAATTTAGCTGTGTTTGGAAAAAATAGAATTCTGTGCATGCAGCATCAGATTAGAAATGCTAGTAAACGTGGGTCAACCAGGAATATCTAAAAGCAGTAAAAAGTGATCTAGCAGGCATGAAAATTGTTTGTACTTTACAGATATCTCCTCCTGCGTTTTGAAAAGTTAAACACAGGAGAGACTGTGAATGAGGCCTTAAAAGAGAAGAAAAATCCAACACTACTAGATGCTACAGTGAATGATGGGGGAAATTTCCAATGATGACACTTGTTCCGGTGACAACCTGTCTAAGAGGCATTTCCCCCACTTGAGGGAGAGATCTCTTCTTACTTTCTGTTGTGTAAACAGGACAGAAAGTAAGGGTCTCTTTTCGTCTTAAAAAAAGAAATTTTATAATTATATATATATATATATATATATATATATATATACAGTATATACACACACACAGTGGGGAAAATAATTATTTTATTATAATTTTTATCATAGGTGTATTTTAAATGATAGAGACAGAGTATCAACCAAACATCCAGACAAAACACATGATACAAATGTTATAGATTAAGTTGCAGTTCGCTGAGTAAAATAAATATTTGATCCCCTACCAACCAACAATAATTTAGGCTCCCACAGACTGGCTATGTGCTCATTTGGTACACAGATTAGTCCTGTCAATTTAAGAAGGTGCTCCTAACAACAGCTCATTATGTGTATAAAAGACACCTGTCCACAGAATCTCATTCTTGGGCACCACCATGGGCAAAACCAAAGAGCTGTCAAAGGACATCAGGACAAGATTGTATACCTCCACAAGGCTGGAATGGGCCACAAGACCATCAGCAAGAAGCTTGGTAAGAAGGAGAAAACTGCTGGAGCGATTATTTGCAAACGGAAGAAATACAAAATAACCATCAATCGCCCTCGGTCTGGAGCTCCATGCAAGATTTTGCCTCATGGGGTAAGGATGATCATGAGAAAAGTGAGGGATCAGTCCAGAACATCACAGAGGGAGCTTGTAAATGATCTCAAGGCAGTTGGGACCACAGTCACCAAACAAATAATTGTTAACACAATTGGCCGCCATTGATTGAAATCCTGCAGTGCCCGCAAGGTCCCCCTCCTCAAGATGTACAGGCCCCTGTGAAGTTTGCCAGTGAACAGCTAAATGATTCAGAGAAGGATTGGGAGAAAGTGTTGTAGTCAGATGAGACCAAAATGTAACTCTTTGACATTAACACGGCTTGCTATGTTTAGAGGAAGAAAAATGCTGACTATGACCCTAAGAACACCATCCCTACAGTTAAGCACAGAGGTGGAAACATTATGCTTTGGGGCTGTTTCTCTGCTAAAGGTACAGGCAGACTTTGCTGCATTGAGGGGCCAATGGACGGGGCCATGTTTTATAAAATCTTGAATGAGAACCTTTCCTCCCTCCAGCTAGAAAACTGAAGATGGCTCAAGGATGGGTCTTCCAGCATGACAATGACCCAAAAAAAATTCCACCAAGGCAACAAAGGAGTGGCTCAAGAAGAAGCACATTAAAGTCATGGAGTGGCCTAGCCAGTCTCCAGACCTTTAATTCGATAGAAAATTTATGGATGGAGACGAAACTTCGATCTGTAAAGAGGAGGGGACCAAAATCCCTTCTGAGATGGATGCAAACCTGATAACCAACTACAAGAAACAGCTTGCCAACAAGGGTTTCTCCACCAAGTACTAAGTCATGTTTTGCTTGTGGATCAAATACTTATTTTACTCACTGAACTGCAACTCAGTTTATAACATTTGTATCATGCGTTTTTTTCTGGATTTTTGGTTGATATTTTGTATCTATCATTTAAACTACACCTATGATAAAAATTATAGACTCTTCATTTCTTTGTTAGTGGGCAAGCTTACAAAATCTGCAGAGGATCAAATAATTGTTTTCCCCACTGTATATGCTAAGAGAGGCCTAGCCATTGCTGTTAACCATTATCATCACAGGAGTGAGCTTTCAAATGCTAAGCTCAGAGCTACTGTATCAGGGGACAGAAAGCACATGTTAGGGGAGTTGAATCAGAGCTCACTCCTGTAATGTACTGTACGTAAATAGCCTACACCTACAGCTAGGGCATTATCCAATTTTGGTCAAAGCTGCATAGTTTGATTTTATCTACATATATCCCTTATGCTTAGGCAGTTTTTGGTAAAGGCAAACTTTGCCTTTAAAGTGGTAGTAAAGTTGCCTGAAAAAAAAATGTAAAAAATGGGCCCCCTGCAGGTTTAAGTCATAATGTACTAGTATGCACTGCATAGTAGCACATTATAACAGACTTACCCACAAACAAACCCTACAGTACATCGCTTTCATGCCTCCCCCAATACTTGTATCTTCACTGATCTGCCCTCTGTTTTCCATATCCATGGCCGCTTGAATGGCCGGGCTGCTGTGACGTCAGTCCCGTGCATGCACACAGAGTGGGCTGTAAATGTGTTCTGAGCTGCGCATGCACATGCTTCGATCACATTACCACTAGCAGGCAGGGGGAATATTTATGGCAAAAGTGACCTCTAGAGTTTTTTCTGTTATAAAAACCCTTCCTGTCTGCGATTTTTTTTTTTTTTTTCTCCACTACCACTTTAAGACTTCAGCTAAGATTTAAGTTAAGATTTCCGGTAAGTTTTAATATAAGCTCACATTTTATTACAGTTAAGATTTATGATAAGGTCTATACTGTTTAAAAAGACACTGTCAATCTAAATATAGCAATCTTTTTTATGAAAATGTTTAATATATATCTTTCTGCAGTTATGTTTTCTTTTTTTTCCTACAACCTTTATTTCTCCCATCAATTTATTTGAAGAATCCGTAGATAGGAACCATAAACAAATTACTAGCAAAAATGAATTCATAAATGCCTGAACTAAACCTGTCTGATTGTCATCAAGGTTTTGAATATTGCAAACCGCAATACTGAAACATCTTTCTTTTTTTTAAACTGTGTAAATGCCTACTTTTCATTTCAGAAAAAACACCTCATTTTAAATTTGTCTTCAATGTGCCAAGTTTAATCTGACTACTTTGTCTGTCTTCCGTGCCACAGCTTCTGCAGGCATTGCAGTATCACAGAAGAAAGTGCGACAGATCAGTGATCCCATTCAACAAATTTTAATCCAACTGCACAAAATAATTTACATAACACAGGTATACATTTCTTGTGTGGTTTGATGCTTGTGTAAATTTATGCCCCAAAAATGTTAAAACATACTTTTGGGAAAACTCCCAATAATTTATCACTGGCTGCACACTGCGTACAGCTCTGGGTGCCTGTACATTAAATTATAACTACAGGCAAAACTTTTTTTTTTAGTTTTGGATGGGGTTGAGATGAACTAGAACACCTGTCCGTTTTTATTGCTGTCTGTGCCCAGTTACGGAGATTCACCCTCTCTATTTGTCCTATTTGCCATTATCATCAAAAGTGAAAGTAAAGGAAATCCCACATTTTGGGCTTTCCCTAGAAAAGTAATAGAAAGGAAATCATCCAATGGGGACACTAGTTCTAGAGACTCAAGGAGTCCCCAGGGAGTTCCCTTAATTTTTCTCTCCCTTCCTTTTTTAGCTATGGGACAGGAAGTAAAGGAAAATCTTTTAGACAGATGGCAAAAAATAAACCGATAGAGGTTAAAACCCTCCCTTAATCTATTCACAATGAAAAAAAAAAAAGTTTTGCCTATAATTCTACTTGAATTCAACCATGATAGTTAGGTTGATAATTCTATATAAGGGTGCCCTTGGATTAAAGGCACCAGGGGTGCTGAAATGGTAAATGGACCTGATGTGCACCTACCTTGAGGCATCTGTGTGGTCAGAAGTGGTTTGAAAGCTATGAAATACAGGGCCCCATAGCATTTCTGTGTAGCAGCTTGCAGGTTCAGTATATCTCTGTAATACTTGCACATTTACCTATATTGTATTGTAATAACCTCTCAAGTACAGAAAATACCTATTGATCTGCCAGAAATGCATTCAGCCTGTTGTGGGCTGAAAATTCACAGCATTTTCTCTGGACTTAATGGTGTAAACCCAGGCAAGTTGTCTATTGCTAAACTATTTAAATCCTCTCATTCTGCCATCTCTACAACATAAAGGCTATGGAGATGGAGATGAGTTTTGATGCATGTTAGTAGCAGGTCAATATCCTCAGATTCGCCCCACCGGGACTTTAGCAAGCCAGGGTCCAGTAGCAGATACAGAAGGTGGGGATCAAGCAGTAATCAAGCCAAAGGTTGGTAACAAGTGGTTGCAAGTTGCGATCAAGTGAAAGCATAGCTGAGGAACAAGCCAAAGATTGGTAACAAGTGGTAGCAGAGATAAGGACAGCTGCAGGTATGCAAAAGAGAAAGATATCAGCTGGAGAAGAGCACAGTAATCTGGCAAGCAGGACGTGCAAAGGAGTGGCTTAAATAGGAAGTTCATGGGAGGAGCAAGGAGTTCAAGGTTCACCAGAACCAAGGTACAAGGCAAGATTATCCAAAGATTCAGACAGGATGCTGCCCAGCATCTCAAATGTCTTGGCAAGGAGAGCTACTGCTGGACACAGCAAATGCCATGGGTTCAGATCCTGGTACTGACACATCTCTTCTTTTTTTTGCAGACTTTTAATTTGCTGTTTTTACAGTCTAGTGGTAGCTTTACCAAAATGCACACTTCATTAACATGCCAGAGGTAAATGAACTGTAATGAAAGAGGACCCCCCTCTCCCCCTGCATAGAAATGGAGTGCAGAGGGAATACACATGCCTGGTAGGGAAAATGTTCACAAGCGGATCTGTGATCTAGTCAGCAATACCTTACAGGATCAGGGATGGGTGTGTAGGAGAACATTTTCAATGTGTTCCTTTAGTTGGCTCTGTTAACATATTGCTTCAGATTAAAGAAATCCAAAATTGTGGGTCTGTGCCCACCTCCTCCTCTATGTTATGATGACTGATGGGGCTAAGTCATAGTTTTTATCAAAGTATAAAGTGCTGATTGCTATAAATAACAATATATCATAATACATAAAATAATCTGATAAGAATCCTTGATAAATGATAATGTCCAAAAAGATATAATGTTCAAAAAATATATATAAATAAATAGTCCTCCAAAGAAACAGTCCATAGAGTAACTTCCAGCAGGATGATATTCCCAATTGTTTCTGGAGATCAAACCTCAAAGGAAAGAGAACTGTGTAATACCATAAATAAACATGGGATCAAACGAACATCACTGCAAACGCATGTGAATCACACTAAACCACACGTGTTCACTAATAAAGGTGAGTATTAGTGTGAACTTATGCGGGGAAAAACGCTAGTGACACTTGCATGCAGTGTTCATACTGTGAAAGATGTGTCCACTTCTAAGTATAAGGATTGAATACGCTTACCAGAGCGTGGATATAAACCAGCATGTAAAATCCCAATCAAGAGACCGCCTTTCTTTGGACTGTTTCTTTGGAGGACTATTTATTTATATATATATTTTTTTTTGACATATCTTTTTGGACATTATCATTTTCAAGGATTCTTATCGGATTATTTTATGTATTATGACATATTGTTATTTATAGCAATCAGCACTTTATACTTTGATTCATACACTTTTTGGGGTGAAAAGTGTTTATGTGCATTTAGGGTATTCAATTTAGTAGGAACACCGTTTACTGATATTATAGTTTTTATCAAGTTCTGTTAAATCAAATTTAATAGAGTATATCTTATTAAATCATTGGAGTTTTTTTTATCAAGATTTTGATTTACTTAGCTTTGATATTCTGGGGTGTAGGGGTTCACAGGAGCATATATTTAAATTAATAAACTGAGTCTGGCAGTGGAATGTATTAGGATTCCACCACAACTTTTTTCAGTAGAAAGCTTTATAAGTTTTTCTTACATGTTTTTGGTGTTATGTGACCCTCTCAGAGACAGAAAATGCTTCAAAAGCTCCTTAAGCCTTAGATGCTTCTAGAATTCACCTCCTCACCTTTCTGTATCTTAATTTAATGTGGTAACTAGCTTAAGCTGGAACTCAGTGTTGACATATAAAAGGACACGGCAACCTTTCTGTAAACAGGGTGCTCTGAATCTCAACTCATATGCGGCTTAATACGCAATTATTTCCTGCTTGGTATTTAAACTTGCAATAGGCTATAGCGTAATTCAGTATATGGTCAAATGTTATGGTAGTTATAGCTAGTGTATCTCTAGGGGTGCAATTAAAATATATTACAGACTGATAAATAACATAACAATATTGTAAAAACATTTTCTCATTCTCGCTATGTTTCTATAGCTCCCTCCAGCACTACATGATAACCTGAAAAGAAGAGTTGTTGAACGGTACAAGAAATCACTTTTCAGTCTCCAGAGCAACCCTTGTAACCTGAAAGCAGAGATGCAAAAGGTAAAACTTTTTTTGTTGGTACTTTAAAAAAAAATTATTGTTATTTATGCACAGCACGCACTGGTTATGCGTACTGTGTTCTCTCGTACATTTTAGGATATACAGTACTGTGCAAAAGTTTTAGGCAGGTGTGAAAAAATGCTGTAAATTAAGAAAGCTTCCAGAAATAGACATGTTGATAGCTTATTTTTATCAATCAACAAAAGGAGTAAAAAAAAATGAATAGACAGAAGAGAAATCCAAGTCAAATGAATAACTGGTGTGACTACCTTATGCCTTCAAAACAGCATCATTTCTTCTAGGTACACTTGCACACAGTTTATGAAGGAACTTAGCAAGTAGGTTGTTACAAACATCTTAGAGAACTAACCACAGATCTTCTATAGATGTAGGCTGCCTCAAATCCTTGTCTCCTCATGTAATCCCAGAAAGACTCGATGATGTTGAGATCAGGGCTCTGTGGGGGCCAGACCATCACTTCCAGGACTCCTTGTTGTTTTTTATGCTGCAGATATTTCTTAATGACATTGGCAGTATGTTTGGGATTGTTGTCCTGCTGCAGAATAAATTTGGAGCCAATCACACGTCTCCCTGTTGGTATGGCCTGATGGATAAGTATCTGCCTGTATAAACCTTTGGTGCACAGTCAAGAGACACAGTAACAGAATATCAGTCAGCACCTGAGTTATAGCTCCTCTCTTCCTGGACACACTAATGCCCTCACATCCATTTTGTGAGTACCCCACAGAGGATCACCTCACTTAGCAATGGCAGAGATAAGGTGCAGAGATGCAACACTCGTGCTACAGAGAGCACTGAGGAAAACCTGCAAAATGCTCACGGTGATAGCTGTTCCCCTGCATTGGAGCAATGTCACAGGGTCATAGCTCCCTGCCCCTAATTTTAGCTCCCTCTCAGGCCTGCAACAGATGGTTTAACTGTCTAAGGCAGATTGCATTACAGCTATGTCTGATTTCTTTAGGAAACTCTCTACCCTTCTAGAAACCTCCAGGCCCCAAAAGAGTACTTCTGCCTCCTCACCACCTGAGTATCAGAAGTATGACCCTGTACAACGTAACCTCTTTGAGGAAGATTATGGGGAAGGCGAGGTATATGCAGAAGAGGATCCTGCAAAGAAAATTTCACTTTCTGCATGTTATGAGACACAAGCCAAGGCTTTATGCTATATGCTTTCTACTGTGAGATCAATTATTTTTACGGTGTGTAAAAGCCTTTGCCTACTATCACCGGAATCTCCTCAGTCAAAACAAGTTCCTATTGGAACAAAAAATGCTGGCGAAGTCTAGAAAAACGCTTCACACATGCAAATTAACGGTGCTTTGCATGAGGATTGGTCAAATCCTGAAAAAGTATTTTCTTCCTTCAAAACTCTTTGCTGAGTTATATCCTATGGAAAAGGATGTAATTAAAATTGTATGGGATCCTGTATGGTATTGTACTTGTATGGGATCCTGACATTTTGGTTCTCAACAAGCATGTTACTGTTCTTGTTGGGGATATTCCCCCCTTTTAAGGATTCTGTCAATAGATGCTTAGAAACCCTATTGAAGGCAACCTTTGCTCTTGCTGGTCCTGATTACAGCTGGCCATTGCAGATATGTCCATTTGTCAGACTGTTACTAACTGAACAGGACAGATGAAAACAGAAAACAATCCTTTGTTTGAAGACCCTATTCTCCTGGAAAAAATTCAGCTCATGCCCTCAGTGCTGCTATTTTATGTTGATGCTCTGTAGAATGTACTTTGCCTAGTCTCTAGGATGATGCCGCCTTGTGTTTTGTGGTTAAACACTTGGTCTGCTGAACCAGCTTGCAAAAGACATCTTTTTTCATGCCTTTCATGAATACCTGTTTGGTACATCCCTGGGAGGATTTGCTTCAACCCCATAAAAAACAACAAGCTTACTACTACGTATAGCTACTACCACTTTCCACAGAAAGGGTTTTTTCTTTCCATCCAGGAATCCTCCACTAGGTCAAAAGTAGATCCATGCTTTTTTGGCAAGACTTGGACCCCAAAACCCTCCAAGCCTAGCCAAATGCCCTTCTCACAATGGAGGGTCACTCTCAGTCTCTGAAGCCTTTACAGGTTTTTAATTAAATATATATTTTATTGTGTACATTTTCCACATTTTGGATTCACAATGAACATGTTTTTGTCATATTTTTATGTAATTTTTATCCAGTGAGCTGTACAACTTTTGCTGACAAAGTGGCCACTAAAGAGCAATGAAACATGTTAATGGTGTTTTTAACCTGTTTTTAAAATTCAATAAATACTGATCATCCTGAAGAACACACTTGGAAGCACCGTTTTATTGAATGAGCACTTCAGTTGACCACACGTTGGTTCCATTTTAGAGCCTCATCCTTTTTACCAATTTAAAAAAACACAGACGAGCATCCCACACTTTGTGTGAAGACAGTCATATTCTCCACATGTGCCAAAGTAGTTTGGTTGACCCTAGAGCAGGTATTCAGCAATCTTATGAATGTGAGTATATGCTCACCGTACTTTTTGCCATACTTTTCATATACCTACAACTGAATATTACTCTTACAAGAATCTCTCTCATGGCTTTTTACCCCTCCTTTTCTCTGTCTCTCCTCATCTGGAGCACCACTGATTCAGACTCTCTTTGGCTTAGCTGAAGGTCCCAAGAAGGGATTGTCTGTTTCCTCTTGCATCAGCTAGGTGGATCAGGCAGCTCATTTCCAGCGCTTATGCCCTCAAGCAGAGGATTCTTCTCTTCCTTATGTTGGCCCAATAACCAGCTCTCTCAGTGTTTTATGGGATTTCAGCATCAAGCATCAGTTTTGCAGGATTGGGGCTGTCACCTTGTCTCATACCTCCTCAAAGTTTTACCAAGTGGATCTTTAGGCCTTGGCTAATGTGAGTTTTGGTTGCATGGTACTTTAAAGTTTGCATTCTATGTATGAAAATATGTGCAGCTCCCCCCTCAGCCCCCCTAATGCACATCTGAGCCTGACCACGATACAGCACTGTGCATGAGAGCATCAGCTCTCCCAGGACTCTCCTTCCTCTTTGGCTGAGACACAGCAGAGGAAGCCATTGGCTCCTCCTGCTGTCAATCACAGCCAGTAAAGAGTGAGCGGGGGCGAAGCTGAGCCGCACTCTGTATGTCTTATGGATATACAGGGCCGGCTTGGGAGCAAGCTTGCATGAGTGCCAAACGCTGCTTGCTCTTGGAGCACATGGCAGGGGGGAGGTACCAACAGCGTCAAAGGGGGATCTGAGAAGAGGATGATCGGGGCTGCTCTGTGCAAAACCATTGCACAGAGCAGGTAAGTATAACATGTACAAAAAAGAAAAAAACAATAACAAAACTTTACAACCACTTTAAGCTGTTATCTGAGTGGAATGTGGACCCTTGTTTAATGTGGGCCTGTTTGCTGCTGTTTTGCTATGTTTATTACTTGGGGACATACCGTGATCTAAGAATACTATCCTGTGTCCTGCACTGTAGGATTGAGATAAAGAATATCTTGGAGTCAGGGGCGGACTGACAACTCATGGGGTCCCGGGGCAATTGGAAATCATGGGGCCCTTGTGTCCTCACCAACACTCAAACCACACCCAAAAAACCTATGAAAGGTATCAGGGGCATCTCATGGGGCCCCCTACTGACCCTGGGCCCTCGGGCAGTGCCCGAGTGCTCAAATGGTCAGTCCGCCCCTGCTTGGAGTACAGTACAGGACATAGGTCTGCTTAGTCCCTAGCCAGGAGAAACTGCCAGATAGAGTACTGATGCAATGGGGTTAAATAATAAAGAACTGGACAATGTTTAGCTAAATAACTGGAGGTCTATTTTCACTTTAATTATCCATTCATGTGCAAGCAAAAACGTTTTTTTTTTTTTTTTTCCCCAGACAAAGGGGTTATTTACTAAGAATTCAATCATGCAAAAGCTGGTGCACATAAACCAATCAGCTTCCAGGGTTTATTGTCAAAGCTTAACTGAACAAGCTAAAGTTAGAAGCTCATTGGCTACCATGCACAGTTGCACCAGATTTTGTATGCTCCAGTTTTAGTAAACATCCACCATAAAGTACCGTATTTTTTTAAGCCATCCCATATAAGACGCACCCAATTTTAAAGGAGGAAAATCTAGAAAAAAAAATTCTGAAAAAAATATAGTATTCATCCCCCATATAGAAATTCATCCCCCATATAGTAATTCATCCCCCATAGTAATTCATCCCCCATATAGTAATTCATCCCCCATATAGTAATTCATCCCCCCTATAGTAATTCATCCCCCATATAGTAATTAATCCCCCATATAGTAATAATCCCCCCATATAGTAATCCCCCATAGTAATTCATCCCCCATATAATTCATCCCCCATATAGTAATTCATCCCCCATAGTAATTCATCCCCCATATAGTAATTCATCCCCCATAGTAATTCATCCCCCATATAGTAATTCATCCCCCATATAGTAATTAATCCCCCATATAGTAATTCATCCCCCATAGTAATTCATCCCCCATATAGTAATCATCCCCCATATAGTAATTCATCCCCCATAGTAATTCATCCCCCATATAGTAATTCATCCCCCATAGTAATTCATCCCCCCTATAGTAATTCATCCCCCATAGTAATTCATCCCCCCATAGTAATTCATCCCCCCCATAGTAATTCATCCCCCCCATAGTAATTCATCCCCCATAGTAATTCATCCCCCCCTATAGTAATTCATCCCCCATAGTAATTCACCCCCCCTATAGTAATTCATCCCCCCTATAGTAATTCATTCCCCATATTGTGTCAATTCACTTACCTTTGCTCCGCGCGTTCCTCTCGCCGTGTTCCCGCGCCCGTTCCGGTCTTCAGGGCTGATCCACGAGCAGAGGGGGTGATGACGTCAGCGCGCACCGCCGGGTGTACTAAGATGGCCGACCGCTCCAGAGATAGGCCAAAGCCGCTGCCTCCTATGGCCGTGGCCGCGCC